TCTCCCCTCCCCATCCCAAACTTCATTCAGCCTGGGCTGCCCTCCATTATCACCCGCCGGTTAACATATTTATCATTCCTGCCTGCAACAATCCCGTGAACCCCCTGCATCTCTGCGGAGAGGGATTGAAAACCTTCTTTCTTTTTTTAATAAACACATTTAATTAAAAACGTGGTGATTATCCAGCCGTGAGTTTGCAGGAGAAAGTCAACACGCTGGCACACAGCTCCTCCTCCCGAGTCGCTGCCATAGGCCCCCCCAGCACAGGGGAGCCGGGGGGACCCAGGTGGCCCTGGAGAGGGACCGGGGGGTTCCCTTCCCCGTGATGGGCTTCCAGAGCTGCTGGAGACCCGCCTGCCCAGGGAGAAGGTGGGCAACACCCGGGCAGGGGGTTTGCAGCGGTTTTGCCCACCCTGCCTGGTGAGCACTGCCAGCGGGGTCGCTGGCACGCTGCGGATTTGGGCTGGGAATAACCCGAGCGGAGGGATGAGCCACCCAGGTCCCTCCTGCCCTGCCACATCCTAGAAAGCCTCACGTGCCGGAGGTCCCCTCGCGTGACAGAGGAGGGCAGCGAGCCAAGGTGGCTGGGAAAAACCGCTGTGCTTCAGGCTGTCCCCAAAGCTGGTGAGCCTGGGGGCTGTCCCCTACCCCCTGGGGACACGCTCGTGCTAGCTGGGGACAGCAGCCCTATTTGACCTTTCTTGGGCTTCCCTCTGAGGCCTCACCAGCTCGTCACAGCAATGGAGCCTCCTTCACCTGTCCAAGGGGACAGGAGACCTGCCCTCTGCCCTGCTTGGAAAGCAGCAGCATTTCTGCTCTGAACCTCCCCGACGAGGGATTTGTCCAACAAGCGGCATCTCCCTGGGGGTCCTCTCCATCCCTCTCCTACGCCTGGTCCTCAGCACCTAGGGATACTTGATCTGGCGATTTCACACGTGTGCTCAGTCTCAAGGGGCTCCAAAAAGGTGGAGCCAGGGATAGAGATGCCTTCTCCCCGGAGCTGAGAGGAGCCGCAGGGACCAGCAGCCCAGCAGGTACCTCCCCGCTCCCAAAATGGCCCTGAGCTCTCCCCCTAATGGCTCCTTCCCTCTGCCGCCACGAGGCCGTGGCATTTCTGCACACCCAAGCTCTTTCCCGTTACTGCCCTTCCCCACCAGCTGCCGGTGCCGCTCTCCTCCTGGGGGGATCCGCGGGATCTCGCCTTGTATGATGGAGGCTGTGGAAAGCCCTCCCCAGCCCTGCGGGGAGAGGGGACAAGGCAAGAGGTCTCCAAATGTCCTACCTGCCAGGTGGGATCGGCATGTCGGAAGTAGCAGAAGTTGTCGGTAATCCACTTGTAGATGGCAGAGAGGGTGATTTTGGGCTTCTTGCTGGCTTCCATTGCCATGCAGATGAGAGTGGCGTAGGAGTAGGGTGGCTTGATGCGCGGGTTGGTCTTGTAGTCGATGTCCTCTGTGAGCTGAGGGTGCATGGCCACGGCATGGTGTGCCGTCCTCGAGGTGGAGGAGGAGATGGGCTTGCAGGGAGTGTGGGGCATGCCCATGCATGCCGGGTCGGCGGCCAGGGGCGAACACGGGGCGGCAAAGCTGGGGATCCTGTGACAGTCGTGGGGGTCTGGGCCGCTGGGGCAGCAGGAGGACTTGCCCATGCTGGCATTGATGATTGAGAAGTCCTGCAGCCACATGAGGCTGGTCAGGCTGTCGTCCAGGTCGTCCGA